CTGCAATTTATCCTTTTTCATGAACGATATGTCCTGTAGATCTTTCTCTGTCAGTGCTGCAGAATTTATACACAATGGATACTGGATGAGAGTTTGCAAAATAAATCAAATCTTAGAATTTAGTCCAGCCGTGGGCAAACTACGGCCCGCCGTTTGAAATGAATAAAACTAAAAAAAAAAAAGACCATACCCTTTTATGTAATGATGTTTACTTTGAATTTATATTAGTTCACACAAACACTCCATCCATGCTTTTGTTCCGGCCCTCCGGTCCAGTTTAAGAACCCATTGTGGCCCTTGAGTCAAAAAGTTTGCCCACCCCTGATTTAGTCACATACTTCTTGCTCTGTTTTAATCTAATTTAAGCATTTATTTCTCTGAGGTTATAGGTTATTACAGGTCTCCTCCCTTATTTGGTTCTTAACCAAGATCTCTTTCATGGCAGGTATGGCACAGCAATAAAGATTATTTTCATTAAATATCAATAGTGTGTGTGTGTGTGTGTGTGTGTGTGTGTGTGTGGTGTCATTTTACTGGATAATTTTTCACATGTAATGCCAAACTGTAACTTATTCTCAGTTGTCTTGTGAAATTTTCTAACATCTTGATTATTTCTGTACATCAGAAGTTCTGAAACTTTAGAATGCATCAGATTCACTTGGGGATTCATGAAAACTAAGATAGCAGGGCCCCATCCTCAGACTTTCTGACTCAGTAGGAATGGAGTGAAACCTACACATTTTCATTTCTAACAAGTCTCCACGTGAGACAAATGCTCCTGGTCTAGGAGTTACACTTTCAACCTCCCGCAACACCATGATTCCTTCTCGCACCAACGGTTTACTGCTCACAAGAACTACAGCTTAACAAGAGCATTGGAAATGATTGTGGCGGGCAGCCAGGCCTGGGATGTGCTTGTCCTTCCAGAATAGGCTCCAAAAGGCAGAACAGAAGAGGATGACAGTGACTCAAACCACAGATTAGGAACAATTTTCACATGTGCAGAGGGCTGAAAGAACTATTTTTTGCCCGTAAGTCCCTAGAGCAGCACATGCTCTAGTGATTGCAATCGATGGCAGTCGTGTCATCTTTGAATATGAACAATTGCAGTATAATGTCACTACATCCTGACAGAAAACAAATTTTTATTCATGCTCACTTTCTGATGGGACCCAGCCAAGTAAAATTCCAAGTGTTGAGTAAGCTGATGTATCCAAATACTGCCCATCCATTTTATTGTTATTATGGATTCAGTAATGGTGTGATTTGCCTTGTAATGTCATTGTATTAATCTGTTATACAAGAATACAGAATTGGCGAGTCAGAAAGGATTTTTAAAAAGTTATAGAGTTCCTCTTGACCAATATAGTAAAATTATTATATCTTAGTCATTTTATTTACAAAAGCTGCTTGCTTACACATAAATTGGGCAGAGAAAATACATCATTTGTAGACTTGATTATCCAAAATACAAATGTAATGTATGTACATAAAACTTATATAATGGAGTATTTATTCTTGAGAATAATGCACTATGTGAGATATAATAATACTTCTAAGAATTTAATCTGCTAGATAAATAGTAATTCTTGTAAAGTTGTATACATATTTACATATTGATCAAATATCTTAATGCATACTCAATGTACTCAGAATCAGGAAAATGCATAGAATTGATTAGTATATTTGATCCCTGTTGCTTCTTTGCTTGAAATATTTGTGTAAAGAAATCTTGCCATTTCTGGAAATGGAGTCTAAAAAAATGTCTGATTATTTTAACTATTCACTTACCTTTCACTAAGCCTTTATGCATTCATAAAAATATATAGTGTTTTTATATGTTTCATAAGCTTGACATAAATGGCATTATGATGTATCATTCAACTTCCTTTTGCATAGACTTGATGTAAATTGCATTATAATGTATCACTCAACTCCCTTTTGCCTTTCAACAATTTATTTTTAACTGATGTATAGTATTCCATTGTATCTATAAATTTATCTATTTTCATATGATGGACATTTAGGTCATTTTCAATTTTTTAATGCTAGAACTCTTCGGTGGATGTTCTTGTAACATATCTCTTTTAGCATACAGTCTAGAAGTGAAATTGAGTGGTGTATGAATATTCACTTTTACTAGGTATTGACAAATAGCTCTCTGAATTAGTATTGCATAATTATATTGCCACTGGTATGTATTAAGGTTCTTCTTTCACATTTTCCCACTAACTGATTGAGAGTTTTTAATTGTTTGAATGTGAGTTTTAAATTTTGTCTAGCCTGAACAGTGTAAAACTGTATTTCATTGTTTTAATACTTAGTATACCTACTAGTCCTAATTACCAGCACAGATAAAAACTGTACTTTTTAAAAATTGTTGACAGTATTACAGATGTCTCCCATTTCCCCACCCCCCCTTTACACCCCTCCACTCAGCCCATACCACCCCCCCATGACTTTACCATCCCATTGTCCGTGTCCATCGGCTATACACATAAGTTTATAAGTTCTTTGGTTTATCTCTCCTATACTCCCACTCCCACATCAAGGTATGTCAGTCTGTTCCATGCCTCCGTGCTTCAGGTCTTATTTTGTTGGTCAATTTGTTTTGTTCAGTAGACTCCACAAATTAGTGAGATAATGTGATACCTGCCTTTCTTAGATTGGCTTATTTCACGTAGCATAATAGTCTCCAGGTCCATCCATGATGTCCAAAGGGTAGGAGATCCCTCTTTTTTATAGCTGCATAGTATTCCATTGTGTAAATGTCCCATAGCTTTTTATCCACTCATCTACTGCTGGGCACTTGGGCTGTTTCCAGATCCTAGCTATTGTAAATAACGCTGCTATGAACATAGGAGTGCATATATTCTTTTTGATTATTGTTTCGGGATTTTTAGGATATATTCCCAGAAGTGAGATCGCTGGGTGAAATGGCAGTTCCATTTTTAATTTTTTTTTTTGAGGAAACTCCATACTGTTTTCCATAGTGGTTGCACCAATCTGCATTCCCAACAGCAGTGAACTAGTGTTCCCTTTTCTCCACATCCTTGCTAGCACTTGTTGATTGTTGATTTATTGATGATAGCCATCAGACAGGTGGTAGTCATTAGTGTAGCCTATCACTAAAAGTTTTGATTTCTCTGACTTATGAGTGGTATTGCACTTTCTATTCCTTTGCATTTAAGCATGATCATGGGATTTACTTGTCAGTGAGCTCATTCCTGAATAGAAGCTTTAAATAGAAGCTCCAGGAAGCAGCCTGTGATTTGACACATTTTCCAATCCCGCCTTGGCAATCAGGAAAGTATGGCAGTGGACATTCTCCAGCAGACCCGGAGATAGATATAGAGCAGCGCGCCAGATGACCTTCAATGGACATGTAGCTGAGTGCAAAACAAATCTTAATTGCCTTAACCCACTGAAATTTTTGGAGTTATTTATTACTCCAAAATAATCTGGCATGTCCTCTCTGATACAGTTAATATGTAACTTGCAATTGGATGATTGGGGAAGTGGTAAACAAACACCTTGCATTCGTTAGAAGGTGATATTTATATTTAATGTTTCTTTTTGTTTTCAATATCTTCTCCCTCCTCCTTCCGTCTATGTCACACATATTCCCCAATACCCATGACCTGCCAAACCGATTGGGACCAATTTTTGATGGCTTGTATGTACTCTCTCAGCCTGCAGTTCCTCACCCAGCTTGTATAGGGTGTCCCTCAAAAACGTATACATACTTTAATAGCTAGTAGCTCAGTTTTGAAAAATGAAATGTATTTTTAATAAACACTGCCTTTATAATTATTCAGTGTATATAAACATTTTGGGGGGAACACCCTACATTTCTTCCCTCAAGCCAGGATTTCCTTTCTTGAAGAGTTTACATTTTTAAAGATAGGGATTCCTGAAAAAAAATCAATGTTTTACCTAAAATCATTACTGATAAAGATCAACTTTATGACCCTGTAGTGAGGGGTCATTAGTGAAAGAGGCTTTCTCAGCTTCCTCTTATTACCACGTTGGTGCCAACTGACTTGATATATATTTCAGACTCGCTCTGACATTAAAATTCATTTGCTAATTTTTATATTACTCTGGAGTGACTCAGTAGATATAATGTTGGTACTATTATGAAGATAAGGAAATAGGAAAATTTGAAATTAACATGTCCATATTTACACAGTAGGTCCATGACTACAGACTCTCAAACCCTTACTTAAATTAAAACAAATGTTAATCATTTGTTGGTTAATCCCATTCTCAAACCTGTGTGTTCGGTATCTGGCTCTTATATTCCCCCAATATTTGTCTGAAAGGATAAGGGGGTAAAGATAAGAAGTAGAGGTGGCACTAATAAGATACTTCCCTGGCAGAAGTAGCTTTTTTTTTAACATAATCTCCCGTTGGATGAAAGTTTTCTTCATGTTAATAAGTTCCTCCTAAACATGCAGAATTGTCTCACATTATGGTGGGGGTGGGGAAATAAATGAATGAATGTCCAGAGAACTGCATTTTGTAATTGTTCGTACCTTGAGATGAAATGTATGAATCATTTGATTGGAATGCTTGCCTCCTAATATCTAGAAGGTGTTAAGTGAGGCAGAGGACAGTTGCATAGTGATGGTGAGAAATTTTAGAGCATGAAATGCAGAAGGTGTATGTGGTGGACTCATCCAGAGGCTGTGGATTTGACAGAAGGATGCAGTACCTTTCAGACAGAATGCAGGTGTGAGAAGGATGTGGGAGCCAGTAGCCGCCGAATTCCTGGTTTGTAATTTTTTAAGGACTCCTCTGTGAAGGTTATAGACATCCTGAAAAATCACCTTAAGTATCGATGCTTCTCTCTCTCTTTCCCTTCCTTTCTTTCTAAAATCAATTAAAAAAAGAATATTAAACAGTTTTGATATAAGAATACTTTCTTGTAACGTTTCCCACTCCTTGAAAAAAGAATGTTGATTGGTTAATTGCAGTTTACATCTTTCTCTTTTTAGGTGGTTCTTTGGAGCAATCAAGAGAGCGGATGCAGAAAATCAACTGTTATACTCAGGAAATCAGACGGGTGCCTTTCTAATCAGAGAAAGTGAAAGCGAGAAAGGAGGCTTCGCCCTTTCAGGTATGGGCATTGTTTTGTGTGATTTAAGTAACGGTTTGAGAGTCTGTAGTCATGGACCTACCGTGTAAATATGGACATGCTAATTTCAAATTTACCCATTTCCTTATCTTCATAATAGTACCAACATTATATCTACTGAGCCACTCCAGAGTAATATAAAAATTAGCATGAAATTTCTATCTGTGGTTAGAAGTCTTCTATAAGCAGTTTCAAAGACATGCACTCTAGATATGAAATAAAAAACATGGGTCTGGCTGTGTTTTCTCACTTGCATTATCAAAGATCCTATCCGTCTAGGGAAATAATAAGCAAGAAGCAAACACTACACTGTTGTCAAAATTGATCTTGGCATAGTACATTTTTTTTGCATTTCATTTGTCTTTGCCTGATAAATGGAAAATGAATGGAAGTGCTGAATGCAAATGCATTTAATTAACTCCATGGCATGTAACATTTTGTCAAAGGTAGTTTTTCAGCTCAGAGTCAAGTACATGTGTAGCTTACACTGCTCTAGGAAAGACGCGCAGAGGACCCGAGAAGGATCTTTAAGAGTGACAGGTGCGTGCCTGTCTCCGCTTTCAAGAACGTGTGCTTCTTGGTGTAAGTTCCAAGGTTGCAGCGTGTCCTTCTTGGAGACTACTCCAGTCCGTCTCTCCTGTGAGGCTTTCTCCTCGCCCTTCTCCGACCTCTGTATTGCCAGTCCTTTGTGTTATCATCCCCTTTAAAGCATGTCTTTTATTTCACCAACTAGACGTAGCCTTTTGGGAGAAGAGATTTTGCTTTCCTCTATCCCTATTGTCCTGCAACAAGTGTTTATTAAGCAGAACGTCCGTGGGCCGTGCTGTGTCTGCCTGGCTCACTGAGCTGGACATCAGGACAGCCTGCGCAGCCTGATATGGAAACAGGTCCTGAGCCCCATGTACTGGGAACTCTGACTTGACCTGAACGAAGGTCAGACTGTGTGTGTTCGGTGTCCATTGTCTTCCTCAGACCTGATGGTCCCAATATCAGGGCAGATGGATTAGAGCTGAAGTGAATTAAGGGCAGTGGTACTGAGGCAGGCTTTTCAGGTTTTGTCCTTTGGTTTCTGTCGATTCTGACACTGAGTCAATAGGATATTACAGAATCATATGGATTCAGTCCCCCTGCCCAGTTAGAGGAGGATGCTCTGATTTCCATTCTCAGAAAAAGAAAAACAGTTTTGAAATCTCAATGTCTAATGATAAGAAGAGCTGTAAGAGAATTTCTTGTATATGTTAAATGCATCCATGGTTGTTATTTGCTTTGCCACTATATACATATCAACTTAGGTAGTCATTATCTAGGCAAAAGTAAATTAAATGTTTTAGATTGTCATTAAAATATAGAAGAGTAATAGTTCCATGAGGAAAACAAACTAAAAGTAGAATTAGCTCAATCATGTCTTTGAATCATGTCCAGGCTACAGTTGACTATTCCGAAACTCTCTAAGTAGAGTATTATGGGACAAAACAGCTTTATAGGCTTAGAAGAAAATTACAAGGTCATTGGCTGTTATGTGCTGAGAATACTCCAGCACTTGCTTATGGATTTGCTAAGCTTTGTAGGGCCTACTTGGAGACCAGCATATCATTATAGATTCTTTTTCAATAAAGTCAAACAATTTAGAGTCTTTCAAACAAATTATCTGATTGCTGTGTATTCACTGGGGGACAAAGTAAATGCAGACCATTATGTTCTATTCAAAGGGAAATTCTCTTTTTAGCCAGAAGAGGGCTATGCAGGAGAAAAATGGAAAGAAAAAGGTCTTCAGTGTATCTACATTCCTTTAAAACACACGAACAAACAACCCAATTGCTGACTGTTGACTACCACTAAGGATCTTCAGATAGACCACTCAAGGATTTATTTCTTAGTGCAGTTGTCTCCTTAATCAGTCAGAATTGATGGCCTTCAGTGTTGCTGACTGCTGTGTTGCTTAAGAAAGGCAACTATCTCTTTTCTGTCTCTGTCTTTCCTACGTCAGTTTTCCTGAGAAGCATTGTCTTTATTCCTTGGGCGACCATGGCTTGCAGCTGTCAGGAAAAGGCTTATGATTTACTGAGGCTGGGCAGGGGCATTCCCGAACCAGCAGCCCAAAGTTGGGGGTGGATGCTAATTGGATTGTGTGGTCCTTGCATGGCTGATGGCTGGCTCTTGTGAGGTCTGAGTAGATCTCAGAAGAGAGTTCGGGCTCTGACACCTCTCATAACGGCAAGACACTAATTAGCTGTGAATTACAACCATGCTTTTGGATATTACATATTACATGTGGCAGCTGGAGAATCTGTCTTCATTAGATGCATGACAGGTAGTTTTAGTGGTTCTACTGTTATTTGTCATTGGTAGTGGATTGTTTTTCTGATGAAAATTATAAAATTATGACTGCATGTGAAATGGTTTGGCTATTTCTTGACTTCAATCAATTAGCTTAAAGGAAATTATTATTGCTGTTATCATTAATAATAATTTGGTGCTTGGCATCCTATAAGCATTTGTATTATTGTTTAAGGTATACTTTAAGGAAAATGCATTTTGAGGACTAAAATTGAGCTGCAGCTGAGTTTTTCAGAAGAGATTCTACATTGCACATTGTAAGGTTACTTTAGACAACTCTGCAGATTCATCTTCAATGAAACCTTCCCAAAAGTAAATGATAACAGATTGAATATAGTTGAAAAACTGACTGCACTGAGGACATGAGGCAAAAAAGCTCATCAGCAGTACTCAGGGTGATGCATCTAGGAGTGGAGATCACTTATTTCTATATTTGTTTATTTCTTCAACAAACATTCAAGGGGCCTACTATGTGCCAGCCCTTGATAGGTCAAGGGCAGCAAAGACAGCAAGGCCCAGACCCTGAACTCAGGCTGCAGGAGGGTTATAACACAGTTGTCTTGCTGTGAGACAAGAGGGGGCAGGGGCCAAGTCTCCCAGGGGGAGTCGGGAAGGTTTCACAGAGGAGAAAGCGTTTGGGTTCTGTACCAATTTGTGCTTCAAGGTAGCAGTGTGGGAACGATTAGTCCTGGCAAGGCAAGTGTACACAGGCGGGGATGTCTGGTGTTTGTTGGAAAGAAGGTAGGAGGATAGAGCAGTTGTGTGTATGTGTGTGTGTGTGTGTGTGTGTGTGTGTGTGTGTGTGTGTGTGTTCAGGGCCTTGCATATCACGCTGAGGAATTTGGCCCTTATTCTGTAGAGGGACATCTTAGGCACAAAGTGACCTGGTGTGACCTTTGACAGCAAGATGATAAATTTATGGATAATAGTCTGAGGAGGGGTGAGAGAGACAGACACAGTGGCATCACTTGCTGCTGTGTGAAATGACAGGTTCAAGACAGCAGAATTTGTCAGCCTCTGCAGAGAGGGGCGATGGGATCCAAGCTCCATGGGCTGCACCAGGGTCTGCTCCAGCACAGGGTGTCCCAGAAGCCCAAGGCCCCTCTGTTGCTCCCTTTTATTTTATGGGGCAAGTGTGGAAGTGGCCGTAGGACTAGGAATAAAAGTCCGTGCTTTGGGCCTGGCTGGTGTGGCTCAGTGGTTGAGTATCAACCTATGAACCAGGCGTTCATGGTTTGATTCCTGGTCAGGGCACATGCCAGGGTTGTGGGCTTGATTCCCATTAGGGGGTGAGCAGGAGGCAGCTAAGCAATGATTCTCTATCATCATTGATGTTTCTATCTCTCTTTCCCTCTCCCTTCCTCTCTGAAATCAATGAAAAAATTTTTTATTTAAAGTCTGTGCTTTGGTGCAAAGCAGTGTGAGCTTGGATGTCAAATATTTGCAGCGTTGTTTGGAAATCCAGCACTGATAGGCTTTGGGCATTGTGGGAAATCGTAGCTCCTCCTTCATGGAAGAGGAAACCATGGGACCTGTGGGAAGCTGAGTTCAGGTGTAGCCCCTCTTGCTGGGCATAGTCCAGTGGGCCCAGAAAGAGCTCCCAGGGTTCTTTGCTAGACAGTCCTGCTCATCTCCATGGATGATGGCCTGAACCAGGGAAGAGGCGGGGAAAATAGAGAGTAGAGAATGGAGGTGAGGAATACTTAGAAGCTATGAACCAACAGGAATTGGTGGCTGATCATAAATGGGGCAAGATAAAGGAGAAGGAAGCATCTAGGGTGACCCTCAGATCTCTGAATTGAGTGACTGGGGCAGATTGGTGGCTCTAGCTGGGCGAGATTTACCAGAGGAGATGATGTACAGGAGAGAGGAAGAAAGGAAATATGTTCAGTGGTGTTTGAGGCAATTGCAGGTGGACATACAAGTAACCAGTGTCATGTTTCTGACTTGTTTCTTCTAATGTTGAGCAGAGTACTTACACTGATAAATTTCTATTACAGGGAACATGAAGGTCCCATGAAATATGCAGGACTTTCATAATACGTTGTGATTGCTATGAAGTCCCTTACTGAGAATATAAAATATACCTCTGTAGTGACATAACTTAATTTTTAAATAAGTATTCTGGAATTCTCAGAACCAAATAAATGTTTTATCTCTCACAGTAATAGGTTTCCAGTGCTCTAAGTATTGCCCAAATGGTAGAAGTGTCTTTGTAGAAGAGATATCACTGCATTGTAAAGGCCCTTGGCTGGGGCAATTACATGATCATTAAGGACATCTTTGATGCTTGAAAATGGCCAGAATTATCTGAAGCAACTTGCTGAGTAATCTGAATGATTAACCTAGTGATACCATATATTTTATAACTTTGTAAGTATTTCTGTATGTCTTATAAATTAATTCTGAAAGCAATTTAAAAAGTAATGAGAAAAGCAGTAGCTTCATTGGGGAAGATGAATAACTTTTTTTGTTGACCTTATGTGTATCCTTCATGTTGAACTTACATATTCAGAGATTCATTTATATTTATAAGTAACTCTCACCACAGGTAGAAAATGTACTTCTAAACTAGATCATAAAGTCCTTGAGCAGAAGAAAGATACTGTTATTGCTTCTGTTTCATGTTTCTCCTCTATCTCCAT